TTGGTTTACACAACATTGGACAGACCTGCTGCCTTAACTCCTTAATTCAGGTGTTTGTGATGAACGTGGACTTCACCAGGATATTGAAGAGGTAAGACTCTTCTTCAGGTTGGTAAGCATGTGTATTAATTCATTTTTAATATGTTTAGTTATTCACAGTGACTTGGACTTTTTGAGATCTCTCAAAAGCGGGCAGAGGGAAGATCTGTTTCTGCATATTCTGGACTACACATTATTTCTAAAACTTCTTAGGTTGGTCTGGGGTGGGGCCCAGGTATGGGTACTTTTTAAAAGCACCCCTTGGGTGATTTTAAAGTGCAGCCAGGATTGACGGCCACTGACTTGGTTAAAAGAGAGAGTTGGAACTAGACCGACCTTGACATCGGGAAGGAGTCAGTGGGCAGTACACCCCTCCCTTCCCCCACACTCACAATGCTCTGTCTCTCTCTCTCTCACCAATGCACTCTCTCTCTCTCTCTCTCTCTCTCTCTCGGTCTCTGTCCTTTCCTGCCCCATGCTCTCTCCTTTGTCCCATCCAGGTAGTGCCTGTAATTAAATGAATCATTGCCAAACCACATGGACAGCGCTTCCTGCTGCCCTTTCTTCCCTGGACCTACCCCAGCATGTGCCTCTGCAGTTTGGAGAGCTTTAGGCTGGACGCTTTGCTGCTTGCCTGAGATGTGGAGCCAGGACCTTGGGCAGGGTGCAGAGGGGCCGAGGCAGCAGTCGTGCTGATCCCCCTCTCCAGAGGGTCCCCTGTACAGCAGATTCACTCACGTGGTGCTTCTCAACCTTGGCCACCCATTGAAATAATCTGGGGAACTGAAACATTCTGATAACTGGGCCCCACCCCCCAGAATTCTGGTGTAATTTGTATGGGAGTGGCCTGGATAGGGAGATTTAAAACTTTTCCCAAGCAATTCCAGCGTGCACCTAGCTTCAAGAACTACGCGTAAGGAGGTTTCTGGCCATTCTTGTGTGGCAGGATCACAGTGCCCAGGGGAGCTGACGAGCAGAGGAGAAGTGTCCCTTTCCAGCTGCTTCTGCTGTTGGAGAAGATGCAGGACAGCCGGCAGAAAGCAGTGTGGCCCCTGGAGCTGGCCTACTGCCTGCAGAAGTACAACGTGCCCCGTAAGACACCCTCCTGCTGATCCGAAGGGCGTGGGAAGCTTACAGACAGAGTGAGGAGAGGAGCTAACACCAGCGAAGCAACAAGAAGCAAGTTAGGTAGCCTGGACCTCTCGGATGATAGAGACGTTTGTGTAAGAGGCACACATTTTTGGAGGTGCAGAATTGATATTATTTATGGACATTTTATTTCCATATCACCCTTTTTCTGCTTCTCAGTGGAGTAGCGAAGGCGTCTCCTCCAAGCTTAATCAGCCATAGTTAAGGAATGGCAGGAAAACAGAATAAAGGAATAAAAGACAGAATGTTCTGCAACATAATTCATAAATAGGTTAGGTGTTTTTTTTAGATAGCTATATTGAGATGTGCATCACATGCTGTAAAATCCATCCATTTAAAAACGTACAATTCAGAGGTTTGTAGTGTGTTCACAGAGACATGACTCCATCATCACAATCTATGTTCATCACATTTTCCCCACTCCCAAAAGAAATCCCATACTTAGGGTTTTCCCTTGGGTATAACACATTGCTTTTCTCTTTCTGCTTTCAGAAGTCTTTGTCTTTAACTTTTGAAACTGCTTATGATGTGGCTTGGTGTGGGCTGCCTGAGATCAGTCTTAGGGTGTCCTTTGGGCTTCCTGGATGTAGATTTCTATTTCTTTCCCTGGGTTGGGAAGTTTTCAGTCATTACAGTTATGTGTTGCTTAACAACAGAGATACGTTCTGAAAAAGGCATCAGTAGGTGATTTTGTTGTTGTGTGAACATCATGGAGTGGACTTCACTAACCCAGATGGGGCAGCGTACGAAACACCTCAGCTGTATGCTGTGGCCACTGTGCTGCTGTGGTCTGCTATTGACTGAAATGTCAATCTGCCACCCGTGACTGTTACTTCTTTGGATAAGCTTTCTGTCTCTTCTCACTCTCCTCCTTCTGGCACTCGGATAATGCCTATTTTGGTCTGCTTGATGTCTCATAAGTCTCTGAAGATATCTACACTTCTTTTCATTCATTTTTATTTTTGCTTCTCTGAATGATTTCCAGCGGCCTGTCTTCTAGTTTGCGAATCCTTTCTTCCGCTTGATTTAGCCTGTTGAGCTTCTTTAGTGGACTCGTATTTCAGTGATTGTATTCTCCAGCTCTATTCTTTCTGTTTGGTACTTTGAACTTTTTTTCTGTCTCTTTGCTGAAATTCTTACTTTATTCATGCTTTGCTCTTCTGGACCTGGTAAGCATCTTCATGATCATTATTTTGAATAATCTATAAGGTAAGTCCCTTATCTTCATTTCACTGGGGGCATTTTCTGGAGATTTATCTTGTTCTTTGGCTAGGAACATATTTCTCTGTTTCTTCATTGTTCTTGATTCTGTTATTTCTGCACATTACATAAGAAAAATACCTCTCCCAGTCTTGTCCCACTGGCCTTGTAGAGGAGACGAACTTACCAAGTAGCCCTGCCAGAGACTCGGAGCGCCTCTGGACCCTTTGTGCTTGTCCAAACTGCCATCCATGTTCTCAGCAGCCCTCAGGAGATTAGAATGTGTCAAGTCCTGACAGTGCCCCAGACAGGGGAGACAGAAGCCAGCCTGTTGAGATGCAGCTGGAGACATTGGGGTGTTACACGTGTGTTTCAGTTTATTCTATCCCCAGAAAAGCTGGGAGCAGGAGTTTATCCCCCACTGGCTCTGTGGTAAGCTGGACAGACGATCTGTGGCGAGTGCCTGCACTCCCGTTGAAAGTGCACAGTCCTTGGATGCGTTGCTTTGCTCTGTCACCCCAGGAGCCTAGCAAATGCTGACTCCTGCCTGCTTAGAGACGGACAGGTTAGTTGGAAGCTTGGCGCTATCTGTGGAGCAAACCAGTGGGAGCAGCTGTGGAAGTGCTCACCTACCCGTTCAGGGTCTCAGAGGAGTGCTGGTTTCCTGCTCTGTCAGCTCCCAGATGCATG